ACCATTACTCACCCCCACACTCACCATTACTCACCACCACACTCACCATTACTCACCCCCACACTCACCATTACTCACCCCCACACTCACCATTACTCACCCCCACACTTACCATTACTCATCCCCACACTCACCATGACTCACCCCCACACTCACCATTACTCACCCCCACACTCACCATTACTCACCCCCACACTCACAATGACTCACCCCTACACTCACAATGATTCACCCCCACACTCACCATGATTCACCCCCACACTCACCATTACTCACCCCCACACTCACCATTACTCACCCCCACACTCACCATTACTCACCCCACACTCACCATGACTCACCCCCACACTCACCATTACTCACAATTACTCTCAGCTCGTCAATCACACACTCTTACCCTCACCCCTAAACTCATTCATACCCTTACACTCACCATCGCTCACCCCCACACTCACCATGACTCACCCTTACACTCACCATTAACTCACCCCCACACTCACCATTAACTCACCCCCACACTCACCATTACTCACCCCTACACTCACCCCCACACTCATCATTACTCACCCCCACACTCACCATTACTCACCCCCACACTGACCATTACTCACCCTACACTCACCATTACTCACCCCCACACTCACCATGACTCACAATTACTCTCAGCTCGTCAATCACACACTCTTACCCTCACCCCTAAACTCATTCATACCCTTACACTCACCATCGCTCACCCCCACACTCACCATGACTCACCCTTACACTCACCATTACTCACCCCCACACTCACCATTAACTCACCCCCACACTCACCATTACTCACCCCTACACTCACCCCCACACTCATCATTACTCACCCCCACACTCACCATTACTCACCCCCACACTGACCATTACTCACCCTACACTCACCATTACTCACCCCCACACTCACCATTACTCACTCCCACACTCACCATGACTCACCCCCACGCTCACCACGACTCACCCCCACACTCACCATGACTCACCCCCACACTCACCCCCACTTATCTCCACACTCACCACTACTCACCCCCACACTCACCATTACTCACCCCCACACTCACCATTACTCACTCCCACACTCACCACGACTCACCCCCACACTCACCATGACTCACCCCCACACTCACCCCCACTTATCCCCAGACTCACCATTACTCACCGCCACACTCACCATTACTCACCCCCACACTCACCATTACTCACCCCCACACTCACCATTACTCCTTCCCACACTCACCATTACTCACCCCACACTCACCATGACTCACCCCCACACTCACCATTACTCACCCTCACAATTACTCTCAGCTCGTCAATCACACACTCTTACCCTCACCCCTAAACTCATTCATACCCTTACACTCACCATCGCTCACCCCCACACTCACCATCGCTCACCCATACACTATCACCCCTCCCCACCCTTACACTCACCCACTCACAATCACCGTTAGCCCCCACCCACCCACGTGCCCCCTCGCCGAACCCCCCCCCCCCCGTCAACCCCGCCCCTCGCATCCATCACTGGATCGATCCGAAATAATCATGAATACAGACGCGGGCACTGGCGTGCACAAAGACAAAGAATCCCGTATAGCCTGCAACAGATTACTGGGGCAAGTGTTGCTAGCCAGCACCTTTGATAGCTGGCACGGCACACGCCCGGCCGCCTTTCTCTAGTTTCCACATAGCACCAGGTACTCATTTAAGGCTGAGTCGACATAGGGGAGGTACATGACCTGTTCAGATATTCATCACTATTACAGTATTTGCTCTGTGAGCGAGAATCGAACTTAGGTCGTCGGGTTCGTTGCGCTAACAACTGCGCCACCGCTCCTCACGCACGCGTGCACACACGCATGAAAACACACACGAACACACACGTGTACACGAAGGCATGAACAACACACGTGTTCATGTGTACATACATGAATGCTCCAACAAGGCACATAGATACACGCGTACATTGAACACGTGTACATATACACACGTGAACACATGGACATGAACGCAAAACGGATCCTCTGTTTACACGGAAAGCCTGACCCAAACTCAAGACTCGTTTTCAGGAGGGTGCTGATACATTGGGATGTTTGGCCATGAATTATGCTATTCAGTGTGGGTTTCACTGCGAGTATGAGTCTCTATGTTGAGTCTGGGGTCTCCTTGTGAGTGTGTGCCTCTATGCGTCTCTGTGAGTCTATGGGTCTCCGTGGTAGAATTTTGGTCCCTGTACGAGTCTATGAGTCTCTGTGCGAGTCTATGGGTCTCTCTGAATTCCATGAGTAGTGACTTTAACTTCGTGTGGTGTAAACCAGAGAACCTGAAGAAAACCCAGCGCCACGCTGCTGTATACGAGGGGGTAACTCTCAAAGCTCCGCACAGATGGATTAAATAATTTATAGCTGTACTGACATCGCCTGTGTTGCCACTTTGCAACTCAAGCCTATAACATCTGGTATTCCCTGCAGGAATTCTCCCAAGTAACAACCATGCTCAACGTCTTGCCGAGCTTTCAGGAGTCAAAACTCTCTGACACGGACAGCGCCCAGTCGCTCACGAACCCACGTGGTGTACTGCCACCTCGCCCCCCGGGCACCTCTGCTTGGCTTGCCTGAGCTCAGAACCAGCGCCGCTAGCCCACAGGTCGACAGGGCTGACGGACATGGGGTTAGCAGTGGGGGGGGGGGGGGGGCAGCGGTGGGGGTCGCCCCCCCACCGCCTTATCCCCTTTCCCTTCCAACCCCCACCCCGTCCACGTGTCGCCCTGAACGCCCTTGGCGCCCGGATGAATAATGAATGAGGTGGAGGCAGGGCGTGGCCTGGGGTTATTACCGACTCAGCAACCTGCATCCATCACTCAGCAACCTGCATCCATCACCCTGCATCCATCACCCTGCATCCTCATCACCCAGCACCCTACGTCCACCACTCAGCACCCTGCACCCATCACTCATTATCCTACATCTACCACTCAGCACTCTGCATACATCATTCAACAACATCACCCTGCTCCCTGCATCATCATCATCATGACTCAGCCTCCTACATTAATCGTTCTGCACCCTGTATTAATCACCCAGGATCATCACCCTGCCTCTTCTATCATCACCGTTTTGCATCATATAATGTTTACTCCCCTCTCTGAATCATCATCACCACCACTCAGCGACCTCCATGCACCACAGCACCATCACCCTGCCAGCCTGTATTATCACGCACACCGCCCCGCGTTCATCGCCACGTACAGTGCATTCATTATTCAGCGTTAACAAAAAATGTGTTGAATCGTGTAAGGGCCAGAGGACATCCCTGTCGCACCCAAGGTGGATAGGGAATGGCTCTGACTCCCGGCCACGCAGCTTTGCCCGGGCTACCCACCATCATGAAGGACCTTAATGATTGTGAGCAGAGGGTCAGGGACACGGAAAGCACGAAGAATAACCCGAGCCTACTGATGGTATAATAAGCCCCACCCACGTCGATACAGCAGAGATGTAGGTCATGTTTAAATTCCCTACACCTCTGCTGTTGAATATGGTGTTTGTGCAAGACCGCCAGTCTGAAACCACATTGGGGCTCCGCAAACCTCTCTTGAGCATGCCTGGCAAGGTGATGTTGAATAATCCTTGGCAGGACCTTTCGCGGCCTCACACTTAGGAGGGATATACCCTTGTAATTGTTACAATCAGCGTGCCCCCCTTCTTAAAAATGGGGCCACCAGGGCACCCATCCAATCCTGCAAAACCCGTCCTGTGGGCCATATTTGTTTGTTGTAGTACAGAGACTGATAACTTTAATCTAATTTGGTCTTATGGTTGTTATTGTTTGACTTGCATACCACTGGGATTTTTGCACACAGCGTTGATATACGGTGCTTTTTCTGGAAGACTTTGCTGTTTTTTCCTGTATTTTTCTGTTGTGCGTCGTCACTTTGAGATGTTTCTTGTTCGTGTTTTTGTTTGTTGCGGTTGCACCCGATTCAAGAGCCGCATGGCTCACAGGGCTACACCTAATAAATGAACTGAACTGAACTCACCTACCCATTCACCCCCTCATTCACAAGTTACTCATTCACTCACTCACCCACCCACTCATTCACCCGATCACCCACCCACACACACAATCGCCACACTCCCTCAGCATTTCGCTTGGGAGGTCATCTCTGGTCAGCGCTTTACCTGGTCTCAGGCTCTGGATCGCTCTTCGTCTGCTATCAAGAAATGACAACAAAGCCAGCCACTCACTTACAAGGGTGGACCCTCAGCGGGTGACTACTTCCCCCAATATTTGAGGCTCATAACTGGGTCAATCCTGCAGAGGTGTTACCGCCTATACATGCAACTACAAAAAAAACCCTCCGCCGTAAAGCCTTAACTGACTGTTGGGGCAAGTGCTGTTAGCGAGCACCTATGAAGGCCGGCACGGCAGACGAGGAGGTGGGTGACCAGCACCACTCGCGACCGCTTTTGTCTGCCTAGGTATTAATTTGAGGCTGAGTCGACCTTGGGGAGGCCAAGGATCGTCACTGGTGTTGGTCTGTGAGCAGGAATCGAACTCGGGTCGCCAGATTCGAATCCACGTGCGCTAACCGCTGCGCGAACTGTTCCCTCACATGCGCACGTGAACACGCGCACGAACGTGAACACGCGCGCACACACGTGAACACGCGCACGCGCACACACACACACACGTGAACACGCACCCCCACGGCTGTGTATTTTACCGACAACCGCACCTGCCCCACGCACGCGGATGTCATGGATCTGGTTAATCCTACACCGACAGCACACACACCCCACACGCACACACACACACGTACACCCACCCACACACACCCCACACACACACACGTACACCCACCCATGCACACCCCACACACACACACGTACACACGTACACACGTACACCCACCCACACACACCCACACAAACCCACACACACCCCCCCACACACATACGCGTACCCCGTACCTGTCTGTGGACCCCGCGCAGAGTCCCAGCGGGTTCTGGGAGTGACCCCCTTCGCCACCAACGTTCACTGGTTAAGTCGAGAAGGTGACGAGGTGAGGAGAGGTGAGGGATGGGGAGAGACGAGGAAGGTTCCTCCTGCTCCTCGCGAATGAGCTGATGGCACGGGGGATATCCCCCCTCCCCTCTCTCTCTCCCTCCTCCCCTCTCTCTCCCTCCCCTCTCTTTCTCCCTCCCCTCTCCCTCCCCTCTCTCTCTACCTCGGGACTCGCTCGCTCTCTCCCCTCCCTCTTCGCTCCTTTCTCCTCTCTCCTCGCCCTCCTCTCCGCGCTCCCGTTCCTCCGCTCTTACTCCCCTCGTTCTACCTCTCCCCTCCTGCGCTGAGGGTCCGAGCTCTCCTCGCTCCTACCCCTCGCCTCCTCTCCCCTCCTCTCCCCCCTCTCCTCCCCCCTCGCCTCCTCCATCTCTCGTCTCGGCCCGCCCCGAACCAATTACGAGCCGCGTTTAATCATTCATCAGTGCGGGGCGGGGTGGTGGGGTCGCATGTATGTACACGCGATGCGTGTGTACACGTGCGCGCACGTATGCATGTGCAGAGACAAAGGACCCCCGTGTAGCCTCAACACGCTATTGGGGAAAGTGATGTTAGAGAGTACCCATGAGGGCCGGCCACGGCACTCGAGGGCGGAAGGGTGGCCCGCACCACGCCCAGCCGTCTTTGTTTTTTTTTTCTCGTGACGACATTTACACACCGCACCGGGTACTAATTTTAGTCTGAGTCGACCTAGAGGAGGCCCAGGATTGCTTCAGACATTCTTCGCCGATGTTGGCCGTGAGCGGGACTCGGAGCTCTGGATCGCAGGGCTCGCGACGCAGCGCGCTAACCGCTGCACCACCGCTCCCCACGTGCGCGCAATGCGTTCACGCACCCGAGCTCGAGTCCCGCTCGCGGCCAACAGCAGTGAGGCTTAATCTGAACCGGTCCTGAGCCTCCCCGAGGTCAACTTAGCCGAAAATGAGTACTGTTCTGAGTGCGGTGTGTAAACATCCCCACTCGGGAGACAAAGGCGGTCGGGCGTGAGGCTGGCCACCCACACCCTCGTGCGCCGTGCCAGCCTTCAGTGGAATGGTGCTCGCTAACAGCACTTGCCCCAATAGCCTGCTCAGGCTATGGGGCTCATCTTGATCTTGCACACCGTGTCTGTGTGTATTTGTAAACACACACATTACAACACCGTCACATATACACACAGTGTGATGCCAGTGCACATTACACACCCCGAGAACACGCTATTCATATACAGCCACACAGCCTGCTGAAGGCGAAACGGGTCTTTGTCTCGGTGTGTACAGTTTTCATGTTCTCCCCCTGTTTTTGCGCGGGTTTCCTCGGGGCTCTCGGGTTTCCTGACGCACAATGAAGCTGCCTCCTGGTCGCAACGTGCGCGAGTCTTGAGACGCGACCTCTGCTGCGTAAACGACGCGGCAGGGACATTGCACGCAGCCCACGGCGCCTCCACCCCGTGTAGCCCACGCAGACTGTTGGGGCAAGTGCTGTTAGCGAGCAGCGATCAAGGTTGGCACGGCACACGAAGGGGTTGGGTGGCCAGCACTACGCCCAGCCGCCTTTGTCTCCCCAGTGTTGAGGTTTACACCCCGCGCCAGGTACTCGTTTTAAGGCTGAGTCGGCCATCAAGCAGGAATGGAACTCAACTTCCGAGTGCAGTGCGCTAACGACTGCGCCACCACTCCCGACCAACCGCACACGCGCGCGCTCTGCACGTGCGTAGCGCTGACAGACGGATGGCATCGCCTGGCTGGGGCAAGATCAGCAACAACAGAGAACACGTGTGTGTGTGTGCGTGTGCGCGCGTGTGTGCGTGCGTGCGTGTGCGTGTGTGCGTGTGCGTGCGTGTGTGCGTGTGTGTGCGTGTGTGTGTGCGTGTGTGCGTGCGTGTTTGTGTGGCACATTGCATCTGCCAGTTATCTCAGTCAACCCATAGCACCTGGGTCTGGCCCGTGACCTGCTGCCAGCAGCGGCAGCCTTCCACGCACCTAGTCTGGCACGAACGCCGTGGTGAATGGCGGCTGTTGTTGTTGTATATACGTGTGGGGAGCAGTGGTGTCGTGGTTAGCGCGCTGCGCTATAAACCCGACGACTCGAGTTCGATTCTCGCTCACGGCTAACACCAGTAACGATTATATGAAGCGGTCATGAACTGCCCCTAGGTAGACTCAGCCTCAAACGAGTACCTGGTGCGGTGTGTAAAAACATCGCCACGAGGGAGACAAATGCGGCCGGGCGTTGTGCTGGCCACCCACCTCCTCGCGTGCCATGCCGGGCTTCATAGGTGCTCGCTAACAGCACTTGCCCCAACAGTCTGTTAAGCAGGGACGTGCGGCCAGGGGAGGCAGGGAAGGCAGAGCCTCACCTGCCATACTCCAATCAAAATAGAACAATAAAATAAATATTAAGATTTTTCCACTGATCTGTGTTATAAATGTCATTTCTGTACGATTCCAATCATTTTTGTAATGCGAGCGTAAGCAGGGTTCGCTGCTGGGCTCTGGGCCAATCATACGGCCCGGGGTATTGGGGGGCGGAACCAGTATGGGGGCGTATGTGAAGGTCCGCCGCTCACCTCGGGTCCAATCGGAAGCGGGGTGAGTGGGGGCGGAAGCTAGGGGCGGAGCCAGCAGGGCGCTATGGGGAGGCCGGATCTGGAAGGTTCGGAAGGGCGTGGTGAGAGGGAGGAGACAGGGTCACGTGGTGAGAGGGAGGAGACAGGGTCACGTGGTGAGAGGGAGGAGACTGGGTCACGTGGTGAAGGGGATATAGGTGGGAGCCCGGAAGGGCTCCGGGTCAGTTGGTAGAGTCACGAAGCTGGACCACGTTGGGTGGCGGGAGGGAATCCGCGCCATCAGCCACGTGGCTGCAGGAGCTTCGTCACACCGTCGGCCAGCGGTGTGCGGAGCGGGGGAGCGGGAAGGACTGACGAGAGGGCGCGTGCGGGATGCGCGCGAGGAGCAGCTGGTCCGCTGTTGGGTGCGGGTGTCAACCCGAATAAAGAGTGACGGAGACCAAGCAGTGTGTGGCAAAGTCCTTTATTACATTTTTATAGTCAAAATCGCCAAATTTGCGGAGCTCCGCTGCAAAAACAGGAAGAGACGAGAGGTGAGGCAGCGGCGAGCTTAGCCTCCCCTCTGATTGCGCAACCCCTCAGTAACTGGATGGAGCGCAGGCAATAAGCACGTGCCTGTTACTATCTCAGTATGTCACCAATGTAATGTTTGTAGACCCCTTCATTTCATGTCTTCGCCTTCCATACTCCAGGTGACTTATTTCACGTGTGTGTATAAAGATATTTAGGCTCGCTGGTCTCGTCATGAAACTGCAATGAAAATGCACCAGGGGAGGCAGCTATCACATCTGCCTCACTGAGGGGGGCGTGTTAGACACGTAAAGACACGCCCCCTGTGTGTCATTTGGTGTTTGCTGTGAGTGGAGTTTGTGTTTTTCTCTGATTTCCTCCCACAGCTAAACTCACACTCCATCCCCAATGCTGAACATTTACCCGCAGATTACTTAATCGGAATCAAAGACAAAGATCCCCCGTGTAGCCTTAAGTGACTGCTGGGGCAAGTGCTATTAGCGAGCACCGATGAAGTCCGGCACGGCACACGAGGGGGGTGGGTGGCCAACACCACGCCCGGCCGCATTTGTCTCCCTCGTGGCGATGTTTTTACACACCGCACCAGGTACTCGTTTGAGTCGACCTCGGGGAGGCGCAGAGCCGGTTCAGATAATCGTCACTGGTGTTGGCCGTGAGCTGGAATCGAACTCGGGTAGCCGGGTTCGTCATGCAGTGCGCTAACCGTTGCGCCACCGCTCCCCACGATCGGGTTCACACAGCAGCAGCAGCAGCATCGTCCCCCTATTGCTAAAACGTGGCAGGACCCTCCTGAGAGAGTATTGAGCCCCGGTGAGGCTTTCCTGGGTCAACAAGCAGAGGGATAATTATTCATGAATGGAAATGAGGTGATTGACGAGGCGGTTTTACTGAGGTGGAACTGATGATGCGATAAGGGGTCGTCCATAAATGACGTCACGCGATTTTGGACGATTTTTGACCCCCCCTCTTCACACGGTGTCACAAAAAGTCACACCCCCCCTCAAATATGACGTCACAAAGCTCTGCCCCCCCCCAAAAAAAAAAAAACATATTTCCATTTTGAAAATAAAACATGCTTCAAATCACTTTAAACTATTGTCATTGTAGTGCGTATTTAATGTGGCGCTGCACTCTGATGTTGTAGGAGAAGTAATGTATTAAAAAGGTGGCGTTGGAAAGCTGAAATTTAGCATAAAATTCACTTCAAAATATTCAACGTCTAACTAAAACTGCAGATGTTCAGACTATTATATTGAAATTGTCTTATAATTATAAAATATTAAAAGTAATTCTAACTATAAAAAATACTTTGTAGTAGAACGAAGTCAAATGGAGAGTACAATTATAACAATCACATATTCATTCCACAGAATGAAAAGCCCTGGTAGAATCATTAAAATCAAAATGTTTAATAACAATCATTAAAAAAATGTACAACATTTATGCTTCTCCATTCTCCCATGGAGAAGCAAAATGCTCCTTCGTGGAATAAATAAAAGGTGACCTTAGTAAATTGAAATAATCAAATAGTTAATAATGAAAAGTTATCAAAATTAGTGTTGTTATAACAATTCTATTTCATTAAGTAGAACGTGTTGTTTCTATGTCAAGTTGCGCATTTTGATGTGACGTCACATTTCTCAACCCCCCCTCCCCCCCTCGTCACACATCGTCACAAATGTCTGACTCCCCTCCCCCCCCAGGTGCGTGACGTCCATTTATGGACGGCCCCTAAGGAGGTGGTTGGGGAGATGTTAGGATGAGGTGATGATGGAGGAGGTGGTTATGATGTGGATGGGACACGGTGGATATGTGGTTAGTTGTGTTTACGAAAGTTTATTTAAACTTGACAATAGCAGTGTAATCAGCCAATCTTATGAAGACAAACCAAAGATTCCCCGTGTAGCCCACACAGGCTGTTGGGGCAAGTTCTATTAGCGAGCATCTATGATGGCTAGAGAGGCAAACAATGAGGGCTGGTGTGGTCAGAAGCGCGTCACCCCCGG